GAAAGTGCTTTGTAAAGTGGAAAAATGTTATCCAAAGGTAAGGGGTGATTATCCTTATGATGATACAGATCTTGTGTGGATGGCCTCACTACAGAGGGTGGGGCCAGCCTTCCTCGGCCCCTGGGGAAGACAGAACCAGAGGGAACACAGTCACCAGATAAATGCAGGGAGAAGGAACGAGTTTTGGAAAGCCTGGGTGGCTAACCACTGAAATAACAGACTCTCGGAAGGACATCCCTCGGTCGGGGATATCCAGGCCACTTCCGTTTTTTGCAAGTCCAATTATATCAATATATATTAAGCATTCCAAGAAAGGGCTGCCCATATGTGGTGTATTTTGCATGTTCAATCAATAATTTGCATGTTCAATGGCAGGACTTCAGGTATGGATCGTGGGGTACTATGTCTGTGGGGGTCACAACTGCCCTGGCAGCTTCTCAATCCCCAACTATCTAGGTAACCTCATTCTGAGATAATACCCAACTAGTATATTTGAGGCCACATGAGACCCTCCTAGTCCCCCATGGTAGGCTCTGGGGGAGGAGGCAGAGATATCTTTAAATTCTCATCTGACAGGGGCACCTGGGTGGCTCAGTTGTTAAGCGTTCTGTGTTCCCTCTCGCAGTGCAGTCACTCAGGAAGAAGCCAGCTGCCATGTCACAAGGACACTCAAGCGGCTCTGGAAAGGTCCACATGATGAAGAACTGAGGCCTCGTATCCCCTGCCATGTGAATGAGCTTGGAAGCAAATCCTCTGACCCCGGTCAAGCCTTCAGATAAGTACAGACCTGGCAAACATCCTCACTGCAACCTCATGAGAGAGTGGCTTTCACATTCCTGACCCTCAAAGACTGAAAGATAGCAAATATGTATTCTTTTAAGCCACAAGGTTTGGAGCAATTTGTTACGCAAGTTATTCAACTTCCTTGAGCCTCAGTTCGCCATTTGTAAAATGGTTATAATAACGGAGGCTACTCTATAGGGTTGTTGTCAGGAATATATGAAGCAGTGGTATACATAAATTATTTAAAAGAGTGAGACATTGGACATTAGTTGCTGTCACAGTTATTGCTCAGTTGCTTCTAAAAGTACTCTGCCAACTTACAATGGTCCCACCTTCTTGAGTTCCTCATCTGGGGGTACATATCCCCAGAGAATGTCAGCTTAAGAAGCAAGTTTTTGCCAAGACAATTCATTGGGGAAAGAATAGCCTTTTCAACAAATGGTGCCAGGTGGGCTGGTTATCCACATGCAAAAGAATGAAGCTGAACCCCTACCTCACTCCATATACAAAAATTAACTTAAAATGGAGCAAAGACCTAAAAGTAAGAGCTAAAATTATAAACCTCTAGAAAGAAACACAGGCATAAATTTTTGTGATCTTGGATTAAATAATGGTTTCTTAGCTATGGCACCAAAAGCACAAGCAACCAAAGGAAAAAAACTGCTAAATAAGATACTATTGAAATTAAAAACTTTTGTGCTTCAAAGCTTACCATCAAAAAAGTGAAAGGATATCCCAAAAGAATGAGAGAAGTTATTTTCAAGCCATATATCTGATGAGGTTCCAGTTTTTGGAATATTTATAAAGAACACTTAAAACTCAATAAAAGACAAATAACCCAATTTTAATATGGGCAAATTATTTGAATAGACATTTCTCCAAAGAAGATATATTCTGGAACACCAATAGGTACATGAAAAGATGCTCGATACCATTAGTCATCAGGGAAATGCAAATCAAAACCACAATGAGATACCTCTTCACATCCACTAGGATGGCCATAATCACGTAGACAGATAATAACAAGTATTGGCAAAGATGTGGAGAAATTGGAAACCGTATACACTGTTGGTGGGAACGTGAAATGGTGCAACCACTCTGAAAAACAGCCTGGGAGTTCCCCAAATGGTTAAGTCTACAGTTACAATTCCATCCCTAGGTGTACACCCCAGAGAACTGAAAACATATACTCACACAACACTAGTACACAAATGTTTATAGCCGTACAATTTGTAATAGCCATTAAAAGGAACAAAGTACTGATATGTGCTACCCATAGTTGAACTTTGAAAACGTGTTAAATGGAAGAAACCAGTCGCAAAATAGGGAAACCTATATAAACAGAGATTAGTGGTTGCCTAGGGCTGAGGAGGTTGGAGGTAAATGTGAGTGACCGCTAATGCATACTGGGTATCTTTTCGGGGCGAAAAAGTGTTCTGAAAGTAGATAGTGGTGATGATAGTTGAATGGCTTTGTGAATATACTAAAAACCACTGAATTGTATATTTTAAACAGCTAAAATTTATGGTAAATTATTATATCTCAATAAAGCTGTTACACAAGAAAAGAGCAAGTTTTTAGAAAGGGTATGAAAAATTAGTTGAGTGGGTTTTTTTTTAGGATATTCTAGAGTTGATGAAATCCATCCATATGTGTACATACACAACCATGTCTACGTGCGTGTGTGTGTGCGTGCATATGCCCGTGAGTGCATGCGTGCACGTGCGCGCGCGCACACACACACACACACTTAATTTCAAATCAGAAACCAGAACAGGTGACTATGATACCTTCTATTTGGGGAAAGAAGACACCAGAGCTCCTCAGAAGAAAATTCTAGACCTCCATTAATTTCAGTATGACCTTTCTAGGACACAATCGTTTGTTAAAACACTTTATATGCTTAACTCACAGGAGTACTCAGTGAGGTAACGGTGTTATCTCCATAATATGGATGAGGCTGAGAGAGTGTAAGTACCTTGCCTGGGGTCACAGAGCTGTTAATCTGAGAGCTTCTTTCTGTACTCCAGGCTGCCTGTCAAAATGAATTAAAAAACAGATGATACTTCCCTGTCTCTGCAATTTCAAAATTGTGCTCTGGTGTCAACCTTATTTACTTCATTTCATTCCATATTCCAACCCAATCTCTGGCCAGAAAGAGCTCCCTGTTCTTCCCAGAACACCCCAATATCTATAATCAAAGAGAGATCAAGGCGGAGTGCACACACTTTGTAAGCTTTACACAGATGTAAACTAGCATCTTACCTTTTCCTTCCTCTAGAAAGTGCCTCCTTCTCTCTCTCTCTTTTTTAAAAGATTTATTTATTTATGTAATCTCTACACCCAACGTGCGGCTGGAACTTACAACTCTTGAGATCAAGAGTCCCAAACTCCACCACCTACTGAGCCAGCCAGGCGCCTTGTCCTTATTTTGACATATGCAAAACCATAGAACCATGGAATCTTTCAAGGTTGAGCTCAGTCCCCTCCAACTCTGGGGACCTCCATGCTGCAGGGCAGGCAGGGGGTTCTTCTTCCTGAATTCTTGGACACTCACCACAAAATCGTTCCATGTTATGCTCTGGCCCAACCTGACCACCAATCACAGTATTTGCTTCACTGTGTAAGTTCTTTTGTTTGTGTCTTTACTAAGTAATTGTTTGGCGCTCTCAGTAGTGAGGTAGTCGCTGTTTTCCTTGGGCTAAACACTCAATATCTCTGAGCTTCAATTTCCTTATTTGCAAAATGGGAATGACGCTAGCTATGTTGGTAGTACCCATGAGTCTCTTGCCAATTCCATTTTGGGTATGTTGTGGGCAGAGACAATGCTGCCTAGAGCAGCAGTTCTCAAAATGTGGTCTGGAAGTCCCTGGTGGGGGGGGGGGTGTCCCTGAGGCCCTTTCTAAGATTCTGTGAGGTTTCCTCTTTTCATCTACTTACCTGTGTGAATCTGGGTTTCCTTCACATACTTGAACCAAAATAACACATCACAACAGATCGAGTGCACAAACAGATGTGAGGCTCCAGCTGTCTTCTACGAAGCAGACATTGAAATGTTTGCCAAAATGTAAAACAATGCCACTGTTCTCAGTAATTTTTTTGTTTTCGAAAATAGAATTTTTAGAATAAAAATATGTTGACATGTAATGACATTAATTTTATAAGTTAATGAACATTTTTTAAAATCTGTTTTAATTTCTAATACAGTGATTATCAATTAGATAAAACCACACAAAGAAACGCTCTTTGGGATCCTCAGTAATTCTTGGGAATGTAAACTTGGAGACTGAAAAGTTTGAGAACCCCTGGAGGAAAGAAGAGCGTTCCAAATCGAGATTTTTTAGGTACCTCGTGTTCTTAACCTTACCCTGTGTTCCAGTTCCTAACACAGTACTCATCCTGGCGACACGGGTAGCTATTAATCTCTTTGTTTCCTTAATGTTTATATGTTGCATTATGTGTGTGTATATAGGGACGGTCTCTGGAGGGATACACGAGTATACAGCTGGCACCAGTGGTCTCCCCGGGAAAGGGAAATTGGGAAACTGGGAGACAGTGGTTTACAACCTATCAACTCTGATTTTTTTTTTCTAATACATGGCGCATGCATCGCCTATACTTAATATGGAGCAATTAAAAGTAAAATTACACTTTTGTTTAGATGGCTAGAGAACGGAAGTTGGCTCAAGTAAAGTGGTGTTGACCCGCAATCGGAAAAAAAGCCCACCTAAGTTTTCCGTGCCTACCTTCGCGCGGCCCACAAACACTTCGCGTATATTCCCTCGGAGTCGCGTCCGGCGCGCCGGACTTCAGTCCCTCCCCGCCCGCGGCCCCGCCCCCTCGCCCTCGCCCCGCCCCTGATGCCCCGCCCCGCCCCCTTCTACGTCACCTCCGTCGACCAGCTTCCCCGAACTCCCTCTGGCTCCCGCCTTCGCCCGCTTCCGGTCGTCGTCGTCGCCGCTGCTGCCGCTGGTGCTGCTGCTGCTGCTGGGGCTGCTGGCGGAGGCCGGAGGATCGGGCGGCGGCGGCGGCGGCGGCTGAGAGGGCGGCGGCGGGAGCGGAGCGGGACGAGGGAGCGAGAGGAAGCGAGCGAGGAGCGAGCGGAGCGCGCCCAGCCCCGCCCGCCCTTCCGCCCGCGGGAGCAGCCGGAGCAGCCCGGGCCCCCAGCCGCCGCCGCCACCGCCGCCGCCGCCGCCGCCCCCCGCCTACCCGCCCGCCGGACAAAGCCCGAGAGCCCGCGCGCAGAGCCATGTCCTCGTCCGCCGGCAGCGGCCACCAGCCCAGCCAGAGCCGCGCCATCCCCACCCGCACCGTGCCCATCAGCGACGCCGCGCAGCTACCTCATGACTATTGCACCACGCCCGGGGGGACGCTCTTCTCCACCACGCCGGGAGGTGAGCGCCGGCCGCCCCGCCGCGGCCCGGAACCTGCAGCCCGTTTTCTCCGCCGCGTCCTCGCCGGCCTCCCGCCGCGGGCCTTTAACTCAGGGCGTGTCCAAGCGTGGCCGCCTCCGCCGGCGCAGCTCCGCCAAAGCCCCCCCCCACCCCCCAGCTCCGCCAAAGCCCCCGTGAGACTGCTTTCGGGAACCCTAACTTCGCATTCTCTCTTGGCTGCAACTCGATTCAGCGCGCGCCCACTCTGGGAACGGGGCTCTCCCGTCGCTGGGGCGGGGCCGGGGGGGAGCCCTTGTTCCCGCTTCGTGGCAGCTTTCGGCGTTCGACCCAGTTTTCTCCCCCTCGCCTCCTCCTGGGCAGATTCATCTACACTTGGCCTGGCTCTCGTTCTGCATTGCCTCTGCCTCTTGCCTGTCGTGCATTTGTGCACATTAATGCTTGATTTTGGAGCTCTCTCCCGGGCCTTTTTAGAAAGAACAGGCAGAGTATTTCGCTCTTGGGACTCTGCGATGACTTGTTTTGCTGCTTTTAGAACGGCAGGAGGAGGCTGGAATGCAGAGTTTGGACGCCTCGCCCGGCGTTATCCTGCTTTGACAGCATTGTTTACTTGCTGGACGAGGCCCCACGAGGGGGGGAGTCCCCAGGCCCAGGGTAGGGGAGAGAATGATAAAATAATACTCAAGACATAGCCAAGGGAAAAGACGTGGGGGTAGTAGAACGCTGGCAGCCCTGACGATAGGTTTTTGGCGGTGACGCTTTTGGGGATAGATGAGGAGGGCATTGGCAAGAAGGGCACCCGGATCGGTGGCATTGCTTGATTCTGGGGAAGGGCAGCGCAGGGAGAGTTTTCCGAGCATTGCTTTTCGAAGTATGACCAGGAACTGTTTACAAGGAAGAACACTGGGGTGGAGGTGAACCACGTTGAATTTGTCACGGGAAAAGGGAGCTCAAAGGTTGTGTGTTGTTCCCTGACTGGGCTGTTCTCCAGGGGGAGGAGACTAGAGAGGGATCTTGTGGGACCTTATTGAAGGGGATGGCGCTTCATTTTAACTTCGGAACTTTGCCTTCCTTTGGTGTTGGGGTGGCCTCTCTCTAGAGGGTTGAACTTTGCTGGCAGCCTCTGCCGGAGGAGATGGCTAGCTTCGTTCCTGTGGGCTGGGCTCACCAGTTGTACTACAGCCAATCCGGTGCAGTTAGGCCCTGGCGATCCTTGAATTGGTTGCACAATAGCAAGGCCCAGAGAGTAGGAAGACCTTTTTGCCAACAGCAAGGGATAAAAATCGAGGAGAGAGCTCTACAGAGGAATCCGTCCAGGCCACTCTAGGGGACGGGTGGCTGCCTTGGAAGACTTTAAAATGACCCAAGCAGGAGGAGTTCATCAATATTTTTGGATAGCTGGGCTTATAGAGGCTTTAACTTTGCAGGCCGGTGGGATGACTCCATGAGGTGCCTTGCCTCACGGGAGAACCCTCCCTCCTGACCTGATCTGTTCAAGGCCAGCCCCTGAGCATGCTTCGATCCTGCTTTTTGATGATCCTGAAAGATTTTGGCGGACCAGTATCTGCTCCAGATAGAGTTGTCCTGAACTTGAGCTGACAGCCTTTAAGAAATGGATATTGTTTTCCAAGGTGATAGGAAGGGATTTATAACTTCTTGCAGAATTTTTTGTGGTACTGGTCAGTAAATGCCCGCGCTTCCAGCCATTGAGAACATGTCATGGTTAACAGCTGCACTCAGCTATTATTTATGCGGGGAAGGAACTGAACTTTTAGCTATATATTAATCATTATTCCCCTGACGGAAGAGCCACAGAGGGGGTACCTTTCGGGCATATTTCAAACAGCCAAGTTACCTTGCTTTTAGAATAAGGACATAGTCTTTAAGCATTGCTTTAAAGATAGAAGCCTGTTTCATAGTCTGGATTAGTTCCTAAGGTGCTTGGAAAGATTCTGCCAGAAATACTGATTCATTTACCCTTCCTTCCAACTTACAGTCACTACTGCTTTCTCAAATATCACTTAACCTGTCTCCCGATAGTTTCTATACACAGTTTTTTGTTTCAGATTTAAATACTTGTCATCTTAGCTCATCTATTACATTGAACTTGTATTTATTGGTAGAGCAGGTTGTAATCTTTGGATTTTTAGCACGAAGACTTAACATAATGCGTTTATAGGATATAGCACTGTTGGGATTGGATTTAATCACTCTTAACTCAGTGCTGTTTAGATGTGCAGTAGTTACTGATTTAATTTTTCCCCCTTTGGAAACTTTCCCTTCCTCTGATGGTTTGCTCATCTCTCTTGTACATTCCTCTCTGTCCCACCATGTAATTGAGCCAGGGGAAGATAGTTTTATTTGGTCTCCTCCAGGCACCTGAATTAATGTGATTAGGTATTTTAAATGAGTTTTGTGGGCCTAGTGCAGTGCTTTGCACAAAAGAGAGCCACAAACCAAAGTAGGAAATGCAGTCCTTGCTCTCAGTGATCTTAAAATCTTGAAGGGGTTGGGGACTGATAAGATTTTTCGTTTTAGAACAAAAAAAAAACTTACAGAATCCAGTGCTAACATACATTTCAGGTGTGAAAACATTTAGAAAAATGATAGTAAGCTTGCATGGGAAATCTCTCTTTAGTGGGAAGGAAGGGGATTAGCATGTCCTGTCTTAAACTTCTGGAAACCTTCTGGAGTGTCATACACGTGTTGGCAGTATTCCAGGATAACAGTTGATGTGCTGAATGCCCTAAATGATCAGACTGGGCAGGGACATTCACAACATAGTGAACTTATGATTTCTTCTCCTTTGAGAGTCCTTTATTTATTGGGGATCAGAAGTTACAGCCTATCCCTTGGGAAGGTTTCTCAAAACTGCCTTCTCATGGTTTAGGGAATGAAAGGTGGGTGGAGACAGACTTGCTCTGACCTTTGGATTTCTCAAATTGCTAGAAGAGTACCTACCTGTTTTCATTGTTAAGGAGGAGGAACATTTTTGTTGAGTAAATTCAAGGCAAAAAAAAAAATGCCCTTGGATTTTATTTTACTTTGTTTTATATGCCTGTGGAGGAGTGAGGACGCTATTTGGTTCTTCCCTTGAGAAGCTACATCTAGCCTCAATGGAAGGGAAAGTTACTGTAGTTGTCTTCACTTTTATAACACTTTGGTTAGCTGGAAGGCACCTGATGCTTTCGTAAGTTCTGAACTTTCTCCTTTTAGGAGTGTTGTGCTCTGGGAAACGAGCAGAAACAGAACTCTTTTAGCCTTCTTTCTGCCTTTCTTTTCCTGCATAACATCCTCATCAGCTGTGGAAAAGTGCTGTTGCCATACAAGAGCACCAGCGGGGAACTAACTGTGATGGTCTAAAATCTTGTTCGTGCTGCTGTTTCCTCGGTCAGCTGGAGAGTTGCTGTGATGGGTTCGCTGGGTCAGAATTACCTGAAGGCCATTGCAAGGGTCTGGAAATAAAGAAGGTAGGAAGAAGGGAAAATAATCCGCTTGGAGTGAGCTATAGTAAAATAAGAGTATTTGAGAGGAGTCCTAAATTTTGGCCTGGTTCCCTTCTTGGGAGGTGAATAGAGTTCTATGTAGATCTGGGGAAGGAAAGTCAGTTTCTGACTGTTGTGAAATTTCTAACTCCATGACCTTGGGTTGAGTTTATTCTAGGCCAAAACCTTCTGAACCAGCAAATGTACTTATTTGGCTCCCTAGCTTCAGTTATTAACCAAAGGACTTCCTTATGACATGGGAGAAGTACATGAAAAGCATAATGAAAGGTGTTCAGTCCCTCTGCCTTGTGTTTGAGGAAGACTGTATTTACTTAGAGTAACCCAAATTATTAACATGTTTGTCATTCTGTGGGAGATTCAGCTGAGGTCTCATATTCATCAGCTGCCAAAGTATATATTAAAGAAGATGTACTTCAGTTTTTATGTTGGGTGCATTTTTTGCTCACAAAGGATTGAATTCTGGGGCGCCTGGGTGGCTCAGTTAAGTGTCTGCCTTTGGCTCAGGTCATGATGCCAGGGTCCTGGGATCGAGGCCTGCATCAGGCTCCCTGCTTGGCGGGGAGCCTGCTTCTCCCTCTCCCACTCCCCCTGCTTGTGTTCCCTCTCTCGCTGTGCCTCTCTCTGTCAAATAAATAAATAAAATCTTAAAAAAAAAAAAAAAAAAGATTGAATTCTGAGCCTGGGGGAGGCAGCAATCTGCATCCTCAAAGCATATAGCAATGCATTGTTTGAAAGCCTTTGCCTGTCCTAAGTCAGATGCAGTCTGACCAGGGAAGACAGCTCTTACAAGTTGTTAGTGTAACGTGTATGAAGGCCCTGTGCACAGCTCCTTCAGCTTGCTGAGGCCTGTTGTGGGCAATAGGAAGAGCTAAAAGCGATGAGTCTGTAAACTGACACTAGCAGGGTTACTCAGGAAAGACAACTGGAGTCTTAACAACAGTTTTCTAAGAGGGGTCTTGCAGAGGGGTCCCTGATGACTCTTAACGTCAGGGTCGTGAGTTCAAGCCCCATGTTGGGTGTGGGACCTACTTAAAAAAAAAGGAGGAGTCTTACATGGTTTGGCTGCACTGTAGGCTTGATTATGTGTGTGTTAAAAATGTGCAGATCAGATAGGGTACAGTTAATGTGGAGTAAGCTAGTTTATCTGGTTGGAGAAGAATACAGCCTGAGCAGGAGAATAGTTTGTTGGTGAGCGGCAGAACTTTTTTTTGGTTTCCAAGTCTTTTTATGAACAATGTAATATTTAAACGATTTTTGTTACTCCATTTATAAATAATAGAACAAAAGTCAGTTGAGAATTGCAGTCATTCACCTTACTGAATAGTCAAGGCCTAGACTCCCATTTTCAAATTTGTTCATCGTGGAACTTGGTTTTGTGACGGCCACTTAGAAACCCGTGTTTTAACAGGCAGCTGCTGTGCATCCCATGGGTGGCTTGTTTTTAAAGGTCCCCTGCACCTGTTCTCAGGCCATTGCTTGAAGCCAAAAGCTCAGAAA